AATCACCATTATTATTTTATTTGTTATTATTGATAGCCAATGCTGGAAAAAAAAATAAGGTCTTTCACAACAAAATTCAACAAAGTTAAATATACACTTTAAAAAGAAAGAAAAGTAAATTAGAGACACAGATTGAAAAAACAAGTATGCTAGGCCGGGTGCAGTGGCTCACACCTGTAATCCCAGCACTTTGGGAGGCCGAGGTGGGTGGATCACCTGAGGTCAGGAGTTCAACACGAGCCTGACTAACATGATGAAACTTTTTCTCTACTAAACATACAAAAAATTAGCCAGGCATGGTGGCAGGCACCTGTAATCCCAGCTACTCGGGAGGAGGTTACAGTGAGCTGAGATTGCACCATTGCACTCCATCCTGGGCAACAAGAGTAAGACTCCATCTCAAAAAAAAAAAAGTATGCTAACTATAAAGTCAACTGTAGTTCCATATGACCTATTTGTGTCTGAGCTTCTGGAAGACATGGCAAAAAGGAAAATTAGATGAGCTATGTAATTCTCAAGGGATATTGATAATGATGTTGTTTGTGATACAATTTTTTTTTTTTTTTTTTTTGAGATGGAGTTTCGCTCTTGTTGCCCAGGCTGGAGTGCAATGGCGCAATCTTGGCTCACTGCAACCTCCGCCTGCTGGGTTCAGGCAATTCTCCTGCCTCAGCCTCCTGAGTAGCTGGGATTACAGGCATGCGCCACCATGCCCAGCTGATTTTTTGTATTTTTAATAGAGACGGGGTTTCACCATGTTGACCAGGATGGTCTCGATCTCTTGACCTCGTGATCCACCCGCCTCGGCCTCCCAAAGTGCTGGGATTACAGGCGTGAGCCACCACGCCCGGCTGTGATACAATTTTTTAAAACATTTCCCATTGAGGAACTTTTATAGGGAATTTTGAAATACATAATGAATAGTTCCTAATAATATTTCCATAACAAATGAATAAAGAGCTTGATATGGCTGTTCGAGATAGAGATCTTCAATAAAACTGAAAAGCATAGTAACAATTTTAAAATAATGGCCAGGCGTGGTGGCTTATGCCTGTAGTCCCAGCACTTTGGGAGGCCAAGGCAGGAGGATTACTTGAGCTCAGGAGTTCAAAATCAGCCTGAGCAACAGAGCAAGACCTTATCTCTGCAAAAGTAAAAATAATAACATTAGCCAGGCATGCTGGTGCATGCCTGTAGTCCCAGCTATTTGGGAGGCTGAAATAAGAGGATGCATGAGCCCAGGAGTCTGAGGCTGCAGTAAGCTATGATTGTTTCACTGTACTCCAGCCCAGGTAACAGAGCGAGACCCTGTCTCTCAAAAAAATTAAATAAATTAAGACTAAAGTAAATGGAATTAATTCTGTAAGATCTAAGTAAATGAAGTCAAATATGGCATTTTTCTAGAGGGCTAACTTGATCCAAGGATTGACCTTAGAATATTAAAAGTCTAGATAGATAAGTAAATAGCATTTCACTTGGAGTTTCCACTTTAAATATCACTCTGACTTTTTTAATAGAACTGGAATAGTTTTAATAGAATGCCATATGAAGAATTTATATTCCAAGCTATCAGTTGAGGGTCCTGTGATTTGTGTATTATAGGAAATACTGATTTTTATATGGATAAGATTATTAATGTGGAGAATAATCAATAATTACCTAATCTTATCAGCAAAGCAAGTCATTTAGTTGTATATTTATGTAAATAAAGTTAATCTCATTACCCACATATTTTCATTGCTTCATAGCATAATGATTAATTACAGACATAACTTCCTGATTACAAATACAATAATGCCTAATAAAGCCTTCCATTTCAACTGTCATGTTCCCATCAAACATCTCAAGATCCATAATGCAAAAACATCCTTACCCTTAATTTTTCTTTTTCATTATTATAAATTTAAAAATAATATATTGTTGTTATAACCAAGAAAATGAACAAACAAAATTTTAAATGCCTGTTATTAGTGCCTTCTATAAATTCATTTTAATTTTGCTATGTCTTATTCTATTCTGTCTCTTGCTCTTTTGCATTCTGTCTTACTGTATTTAGAGTCCATTTTTGTCCTTTTCAGAAGCCTCACTTCCCCTTTCACATACAGATCTTTCACTCACACATCCACTTACACATCTTCCAAAGTCTTGTTAGCCCAAGAATAGGTCAGTGTTCCTGAACCAAATTTTTTCATCCTTATTATGTTGTCTTGTTTTGTTTTTGTTTTTTATTCCGAGTGTAAGCAAGAGTTCAGTTACTACAGCAGTGGCCTTGTCACTTTGTATTAAGAAATGCATTTTATCATACTGGATTTTCTCCAGCCCATGACATCTATATGGAGAAAATCTCAAAGAGATAAGTGAAAGATAGAAAACGTACAGTTACCATTTTGCACCAGGGTTTCAGTCCAACGTATCTCACATCTATAATGGAGATCAAACAAAACTATAAGATCTACTGAAGGAGAGCTGTTACAAAAATCTGCAGTTTCTCCTCAGATCAGATTGAACAAAAGCTATGTATAGTCGTAGCCAGGCAGTTTTATCTGAGAGAAAACAATTATTTCTAAGAGTGAAACAAAATGAGAATAAAGAAGGAGGTAGACCATAGTCAGGGAAGGGAAGTTGGTATCTCTCAGAAAGTGCTGGGTGCATACACTTTTTGCCAGTGTTCTGAGACTTCCATTTTTAAGGTTCTATGCAGCATTGGGGCAGCTATTTGTGATTTGTCACGTAAGGTATTTACCTATCCTTGACATTAACTGTAATCAGATGCTTTTGACTAATAGTTGTGATTCACTCTTACAATGATAAACCAACTAGGTTTTAAACTTTAAGGTAATTTCTTGCCTTTTATTTAATTCATTTTTTTTTTCTTTGAGATGGAGTCTCACTCTGTTGCCCAGGCTAGGGTGCAGTGGCGAAATCTCAGCTTACTGCATCCTCCGCCTCCTGGGTTCAAGTGATTTTCCTGCCTCAGCCTCCTGAGTAGCTGGGACTTCAGGCGTGTGCCACCATGCCCTTTTTAGTAGAGACAGGGTTTCACCGTGATAGCCAGGATGGTCTCGGTCTCCTGACCTCATGATCCACCTGCCTCAGCTTTCCAAAGTGCTGGGATTACAGGAGTGAGCCACTGTGCCTGGCCTAATTAGCACTTTTGATTATCATCCAACTTACTTTACCTCTTCCAAATATCCAGGACAATAACATAACCTGAAAATTTTTTGGTGGGCATAAAACATTTTTCATAATATTCAATTACCATAGAAAATCTTTATTATAATAATTCTTGAATTCAGCTCAAAAATGTAATATACAAGTTACATGAACAATTATAGCTAAAAATATATACAGCAATTAAAAGTTTTTTAAAAGTTCATGTACATATTATGAATTTTAAATATGGAAATATGTTTTAATTAAATATTCTGTCTTTGTAGAATTTTGGACAAAGTGTCCAACTAAGTTCAAGTGAGCCAAAACAAACTACAGGGGGTACTTCTTATATTGAAGAAGGTACGTTTTACTTTAAACATTTTCTTCTGATCTTTCTTCCCATTGACTTTTTTTTTCTTGTATGCCTATTCTCAGATGCTAACGTATTATGTAATTGTTAAACCACCGTTTAGAACCTGAATTTTCCTCCCCCTTGCACATCCAGGTCATTGTCAGTGTTTCTTTATTCTAAATAACAATGTATTATTGAACATCTTTCTACATCAAGTTATTTTCTGATTTTTTACTTATTTCGGTAGATTTCTAGAATTAAAATTACAGTAACTGACATGTAAATACCACCCAGTAAATACTTATTAAATTAAACTCTGTATTAAATGAATACTGGATCAAAAGAAATAAGCATTGATATGGCTTTTCATATATACTGCTAAAGTATTTTCCAGAAAAGTATTATTTAAAATTTTTCTAGTAGTATATGTCTAATGGTGTATGTCAACTTGAGGTAGAATCTTTTCTTTTCATATTTGCTATAGACAAAAAAGTATTATATTAGTTTTGACTTCTATACCTTTCATTAATATTATGCTTAACTGCTTTTCTATGTATTTTTTTGTGAACTATCTCTTTGTACTTTTTTCAAAGAAATTTTTGAAATTTTCTTACTGATGTTTGCAAATTCTTTAGCTATCAAGGACTCTAATTCTTAAATGAGTTGAAGATGTTTTCACTACTTTACTATTTGCATGTTATTTTACTTATATTGTATTTTCACATACGTTTTAATTTTTATTTGTTCATCTAACAAGTGATTGTTGAGAGCTAATTTTCAGCTTATAGGTAGCTACTGGATATACAGGTTGAATATCCCTAATCCAAATATTTCAAAATCAAAAATGCTCCAAAATCCAAAACTTTTTGAGCACTGACATGATAGCTCAAATGGAAAATTTCACACCTGATTTTGTCTGATGGATCACAGCCAAAACACAGGCTCATACCACACAGTTTCTTCAGCATCCCCAAGGGGAAAAAAAGATCCTCTCAATCCTCTTCAGCTGTGCTATATCGTTTCCATCCACACCCAGATTCCCCCATGTAAGCATGCTCACAAGGAGTAATAAAATGGTACATGTACCAATGGCAGATTCCCCATGAGGCCCCACAGGGGGCCAAGACCTACATGCATTACTCACTGTATTTTTTTTTTTTTTTTGCTTTTTCTCTACTTTGTGATGTAAAGATATTGTTGAAAATATCAAAAAGACCTGAAGATACCCCTGTGGGTAGCAGTGATAAGAAAAAGAGGAAACATTTCTGTTTATTAATAGCCCAGAAAGTAAAACTGTTAGAGAAACTATACCAGCAATGTAATTATAAAATGTCATATAGGAAAGGATGGTGTTGGAAGGACCACAATATATGACCTGAAGAAACGGAAGGATAACTGTTGAAGTTCTGTTCTGGAAGAGATGAACAGAAGTTAATGTAGGATGTAAAAACACTGCATAAAGTTAAAAATGAACATTTCAGTTGTGAGGTGGAAGAGTGGATCCATCAGCGCTGCAGTGAACACATGCCACTTAATGGTATGCTGATCATGAAACAAGCAAAGATCTATCATGATGAACTGAAAATTGAAGGAAACTATGAATATTCAACAGGCTGGTTATAGAAATTTAAGATACAGCATTACATAGCATTATTTTTAAAGATTTGTGGTGATCAAGCATCACTAATTACAAAGTGGCAGAGAAATTCACTGAAGAGTTTGCCAAGGTCATTGCTGATGAAAATCTGATACCAAAACAAGTATATGTTGCTGATGAACCATCACTGTTTTGGTGGTTACACAAGGAAGACATTGACTGTAGGTGATGAGACAAGTCCCTACAAGAATTAAGAATAACAGAATAGGCTGGGCACGGTGGCTAACACCTGTAATCCCAGCACTTTGGGAGGCTAAGGTGGATGGATCACAAGGTCAGGAGATCAAGACCATCCTGGCTAATACGGTGAAACCCCGTCTGTACTAAAAATATAAAAAATTAGCCAGGCATGGTGGCACACACCTGTAGTCCCAACTACTCAGGAGGCTGAAGCAGGAGAATCGCTTGAACCTGTGAAGCGGAGGTTGCAGTGAGCCACGATTGCAACAGTGCACTCCAGCATGAAGACAGAGCAAGACTCGGTCTCCAAAAAATAAATAGAATAACTGCTGGGATGTGCTAATGACTCAGTCACGCCTAAGCGTAAACTTGCTATGATAGGCAAAAGCTTGTGTCCTCAGTTTTCAAGGAGTGAATTTCTTACCAGTCCATTAATATGCTAACAAAAGGGCTTGGATCAGCAGGGACATCTTTTCTGATTGGTTTCACAAACATTTTATATCAAGGAAGCTGGATTGAATGATGACTGCAAGATTTTGTTATTCTTTGACAACTGTTCTGTTCATCCTCCAGCTATAATTCTCATCAAAAATAATGTTTATGCCATGTGCTTTCCCCCAAATGTTACTTCATTAATTCAGCCATGTGACCAGAGTATCCTTAGATGAAGAGTAAATATACATAAACAGTTTCTTGAACAGCACGCCTGCAACAATGAACAGAGGTATGGGTGTAGAAGGTTTTTGAAGCGAGTTTAGCATGAAGGATGCCATACATGCTGTTGTAAATACTTGGAACACAGGGACTAAAGACACAATTGTGCATTCCTGGCCCAGTCTCTGGCCTGCAACTATGTTCAGTAACAGTGAACAAGGTAGTGACTGAAGGATTCCGTATGTCAAGTGAGGAAAAAATGATGTCTGATCTCACTACATAAGCAAAAAATATACCTTCAGAGTCCATAGTAAACTGGAAGAAGTGGATACAAAGAAGTTATTAACATTGATAATAAGATTCCAGGGGTTTTCATTGACCAATGGTGAAATAGCCAAAAGAACTCTGAAGCTGATTATGGTTTTTTTTTTTTTTTTTTTTTTTTTTTGAGACTGAGTTTCGCTTTTGTTACCCAGGCTGGAGTGCAATGGCGCAATCTCGGCTCACCGCAACCTCCGCCTCCTGGGTTCAGGCAATTCTCCTGCCTCAGCCTCCTGAGTAGCTGGGATTACAGGCACGCGCCACCATGCCCAGCTAATTTTTTGTAGTTTTAGTAGAGACGGGGTTTCACCATGTTAACCAGGATGGTCTCGATCTCTTGACCTCGTGATCCACCCGTCTCGGCCTCCCAAAGTGCTGGGATTACAGGCGTGAGCCACCGCGCCTGGCCGCTGATTATGTTAATAGTGATAATGACATTGTTATCACTGCAAAAAAAAAAAAAAGGTGCCAATTGACAATATGATGAAAATTGTGTGATGGGTATATTGAACAACAAGAGCAGTGTACACACATAGCAACAAGAAATTATGCCGTTCATAAAATCAAGGAGAGGCTTCTAAGACAAAAAAAATTGTAAATGAGGCAGAAGACTCTAGAAGAAACATATTTTAAAGTCATCTAGCAGAATATTTCCTCATCCCTAGAGGACCTACTTTTTAGCGCCTCAGCTGTTTCTGATATTTCTTCTCACCTAAAAAAATAAAATACAGTGTACAATAACCATTTGATCAAAATGTAGCATAATACCTAAGATTGGAACCCTGTCATTGTTCCTTGTTGCTGTTGTTGAACAGCTGACAGGTATTCTGGTGATATTACTATGCTGCTTAGTTGCCCTGAACACATTATTTTCTCACTGTATAAATGATACATCATATTTTTTTACTGTTAAGTACTTATGTGTGAATAGGTGTAAGAACATTATTGCTTATCAGTAGCATATAAATTTGGAGTCAGGAATAACAGTGATCCAAACAACCACAAATCATCCACATAGGTTGCTGATACAGCAATGTCTTTGCTTTCTGATGGTTCAGTATAAACAAACTTCATTTCGTGGACAAAATTATTTAAAATATTATATAAAATTACTTGCAAGTGTGTGTATAAGGTGTATATGAAACATAAATGAGTTTCACGATTTTTTTTTCTTTTTTGAGGCGGAGTCTCACTCTATCACCCAGGCTGGAGTGCAGTGGCACAGTCTCAGCTCATTGCAACATCTGCCTCCCAAGTTCAAGCGATTCTCCTGCCTCAGCCTCCCAATTAGCTGGGATTACAGGCATGTGGCACCACACCTGGCTAATTTTTGTATTTTTAGTAGAGACAAGGCTTCACCATGTTGGCCAGGCTGGTCTTGAACTCCTGACCTCAGGTGATCCACTGACCTCGACCTCCCAAAGTGTTGGCATTACAGGTGTGAGCCATTGCACACAGCTGAGTTTCATGTTTAAACTTAGGTCTCATCACTAACACATCTCATATATATGCAAATATCCAAAACTCTAAAAAAATCCAAAATCTGAAACACATCTAGTCCCAAACATTTTGGATAAGGAATACTCAACATTTACAATAATGAACAAAATATACAAAAGTATTGCTCTTCAGAAATGTAAAGTCTATTGAGGAAGACTTGCTTTAAATAAACGTTTTAGTCTTTTCTTACTGATTTCTCCATTACTTTTAAACTTTGTCAAAGAACTTTCCCAATATAGAAATTTAGAAACATTTGTTTCATTTTCTTCTGGGTTGCTTTAATTAATGGATTGATTCCTTAAATTTGTCTTTAATTTCTTCAGAATTTGTTTAAACAAACAGTGGGAAATAAAACTCCAAATTGACTTTTTTTTTTTTTTTTTTTTTTTTTTTTTTTTAAATGGAGTGTGTCACCCAGGCTGAAGCACAGTGGCACAATCTCAGCTCACTGCAACCTCCATCTCCGGGTTCAAGTAATTCTCCTGCCTCAGCTTCCCAAGTAGCTGGAATTACAGGCGCTCGCAATAACACCTGGCTAATTTTTATATTTTTAGTACAGACAGGGTTTCACCATGTTAGCCAGTCTGGTCTCAAATTCCTGACCTCAAGTGATCCTCCTGCCTCAGCCTCCCAAAATGCTGGGATTATAGACATGGGCCACTGCATCCAGCCCAAATTGATTATTTTATAAGCAACAACTAATTTGTAAAATCATCTTTCTCTTCTGTCAAGTCTTTGATGCTTCTTTGATCACATGTTCTTATATCTAATTGGGTCTGTTTCTAGGATGTTAGTTCTGCTCAGCTGATCATAAAAGTTTCTAATTTTCCTTAAGTTTTCTTCTCTTTTATTTATAATTCATTATAATTGATATCATCTCCTTCATCTTCTTTTTGTACTACCAATGAATAACAAGCATATGACAAAAACTATCTACATTACCTATTTTTTTCTTTAGTTCAAGTAATACTCTGGGAATTTTTATTAACTCACTGCCATCATTTTGAATATTCTTTTTTTAAAAAATGAAGGATGGGAAAATGCTAGATAGAGGATCCTGATAAATAAAATCAAAGTAGCAGATATTTACTGGGATTCTGTTTGTAATATGAACACATACAGACAGTTAAGCATGTATAAGTATATTTAAGTATGCACAAGGGCTGATCTTAAAGACAAAAGGGGATCAAAGGATAATTTATGTAAGTTTCTATAGTTTCAGATAGTACTTCTGAGTTTTTGATGGCTGAAAACTTAGTGAAAGCATCAGCGCCTGAGGATGAGATCCTGACTGTCAGGAATAGCAAACAGATACAGAAATCAAATCTGCCTTTAAATAAAACTCAGCAATTCAACATCTGCACAGTATCAGCTGAAGAACAGAAGATTCTAGAGTCCCTTAATGATCTCAATGAAAGACTATATTGTAAGTATGGAAGAACACCTCTTGTAAGAAATATTGCATTTTGCACTTAGACAATTTAAACTTTAATTTAAAAAGTGAAAAGAAAAATACAAAATGTATTCATATTACCAACTAATTAATTGAGTGCATAACAATTCAGAATACAGTAGAATACTATTTCAAGTATGCCATATCATTTGTGATGATGTCAACTTCTTTGGCAGATTTATCTGTATTTTAGAAATATATGAATAGACTTCTGTTTCTGCCATGGACAGGCTACGTGTCTATACTGACCATCCATCAAAACAACCGTAGATTCTTAAGTATTTTTAAAACCTGCAATATAGTGATGAGCTAGTAAGAATGTAAGAAATTCTTGAGACCAATAACGAAATGTAGATAAGAACTCAGAAAGATAAGGAGAGTGCTGCAGCTAGCTTTTGTCCTGAGGGTATTTAACTCATAGAGTGAAATTGAACTTTGTTTTTCATGGCCTCATAATAAAAAGGGAACAGGCCTACTCAAGATGAGTAGTCTCACAGAAGATCCTTCCACCATAAAGCTGGGCCACCCAAAGAGCTGTGCACCACACATATATACACAGAGGAGGCAGCATAGGGAGAGGGAAATTTTTTCTTTAAAAAAAAAAAAAAAAAAATTGCATTTTTTTAAACTTCAGTATTGAGCAGGTGACAGAGGAAAAATGATCCCTGAGAATGTAGAATCACAGTCTAGTACAAGTTTCACTAATTTACAGCCCATACTCATATTACCTGAGTAGTTCTTAGGCTCTCAAGCAAAGAATTTAATTTAGTATGATCCCAAACTGGTAGTATTCCAAAACATTTGGGAAAAGTACATTTATATATCTTCTGGACCTATATCCGGTCCTCAAAAGAATTACCACAAGTGAAATCCAAAGAAAATGAGCAGCCCACACCAAAAAAATAAAAGTAAATAACTTAATCCATAAGGAAAAAGGCACCAGGAAAAAAAAAAAGTCAAAAGAATCCACAGGCAGAATAAAAAGACCCAGAAAGGATTTAGATAATGAAATTACCAGGCACAAACTATAAATAACTATACTTATATGCTCTAAAGTTGTCAGAAATGAGCTT